TTTCAAATGCAGCTGTGTTGAGCTTGTTCTGTCTGTTTGGGAAGCTGAAGGGTATTCTCCAGTGTGTGCTGCTCCTTCTACTCTGTCATCAGCACACAATGTATTGTTGTTCTCATCTGCTTTGTACTACATTATTTGTTCACCCATCTTGAACCACAATCCTAAGGGGTTTTTTCTTTGTTCCTTTGAGCAAATGATGCAGCTGCTCCTAGTAGTTATTGATTAACTGCTTAAACTTGATCTTCATTGTTATTCTTCAACAAATAGATGCATGTGATATCTCAAACAAGCTTTTAAAAATTATCTCTTTTTATTTCCCTCTTACTTTGTTTCTGTTCTGCTTTTTTTGGTGCTATTCAGCGTTTTACTCTGCCTAATGTTGCGTATCTAGGATGTTTTTTTTAACCCCTTCACTGCGTTTCCAGTGACTGCCTTCGGACACTTGTAGTGTAGTGACTAGATGATCTGATATTGCACGCAGAAGATGTGAGATTAAAGCCCTTGTGGTTAGAAATTTTATTGAGTATCTCTGTCTTTCTGCTGGAACATTATATCCCTGTCAGCTCTGGTTGGCCTTGACAAGTAGGGCTTAAGCAGCCCATCTCCCAAATCATCTAAATTGTGCGGATGGGGTGTAAATCATCCACAGTTACTTTGATTGTCTTGGGCCCTTTATGGATTACAGAGTATACCTAGGGGGGTCTCATGGCCTAGAGGTTAAGGTGTTCGCCTCTCATTCAAAGGTCCCGGGGTCGAATCTGGGTAGCAACGGAAAAGTTTTCCCCTTTAAAATTGTCTCCTTTCATCCCCTTTCCTGCTCCCCAACAATGTTCTGTCGTTCTGGGCTTATGACTCTTTCTGCGGCCTTTCTACGGCTACTCCTTGGCTGCTTCTTATTGCTGTCTTTCAGCGACACCCCTGATCTTCTGGTAGGAAAGATCTACACCTAGCCTTCTCAGACAAGGGCGAAAAATCTCGGAGGTCTCATGTGCAAGTTGCGCATGTTAAAGATCCCTTGGTGGTCTAAAATCAATAAGAGTAGGCTTTGGCCACCTCCCAGGCAAAATTCAAAATTTCTTTTCAACTGAAAATGTTTAAAGTGTCCCTTATGACCTTATGCAATTGCGAGCACCGTAAAACACTTACAAAAAAGGAGGAAAAAAAGGGTATGCCTGGCAGCGAAGGGTTAATACCACTGTTATACTATCTGATGAAGTATGTGAACTAGTGAAAATGCCAAATAACTCTGTGTGTTTGCGGTCAAGAGATTATGAAACAACCTTTTAGAAAATGTAAATATTAAAACATTGTTAAGTCTCTCTTTCTCCACAGTTGCTCTTCTGGAGTTGTACAATGAGGGAGGCAAGATTTATGACACAAACTTAAATCTAGTTCCCTTTTGTCGTGCTCTGGAGGACATATTTCGCCTGGGTCTTCAAAGTGAGTTTAGTCACTTTGTTCAAGGTGAATGTTTTCTTTGTTGACAGTGTGCTGTTTATCTTTGGGAAATATTTCAATTGTAGCATGAGACTCTTACCTTTTGATGATGAATAGATATAGACGCAATACCATCAGAATTGATCTTATGCCTTTGTAGGTTGGGACTGTCTTTTGTCTTGACTGACAGGTTTTTCATTTGAGCCATTGTAGGAAAGTGGGTGCAACATTTAGTTGTGAGAAAACTAATATGCTCTTGCTATCCAAAGACACAATTTAACAGGAAAGCACAAGGTTGACAGATGACAACTGATCTTTATTGTCCAGGTCTAATGGAGCTTCAAACACTTTTTCCGGTTTTAGCTATTTTGCTGTCATAGAATTGGGCCTAGCAATTGATTGGGTTTTTTGTTTTCCAGGGAATCATGGGCACTGGTTCACAAAAGCGGACTATTGGACAGTCTTTATCAAATTTGGAGACAAGTGAGTATTGCAGAAGTTAGCAAAGGTGCTCCGTACCTTCCTTCTGTTTATATTATTAGAACTTATCTTTGTGGGTGAAAATTGTCTCTTTAATAATGAATTATAATAATAAAGATCACTTTAATAATGCCTACTCCCTGGTGGTTCAAGGTGCTTCACAATAATCAACTATTCGTGCCCATTCAATTTACAACAATTCTTTCAGATTCATTTAGACTTTGTATATTGACAAAGAACACATAGACGCAAAAAAACAATCATTGAAGGTAATGATCAAATTAGTTCCTAAAATGGGATTTAGATAATCATTTTCAGACCAGATTTAAATGCAGTGGGAGGGGATTCCACACTGAAGGAGTAGCTGTCGAAAAAGCCCTGCCTCCAATTTTTTAAGGTTGTCAAGGCACAGTCTTGAGTAGTTTTTTTTATTAATATGAAAATTTCAAGATGGCATAAGATCCTGTAGTAAATTAGAAAGATATTTTGTGCCAGATCAATTAAACACTTACAGCCAATTACTGCAAATTTGCAATAAGTACAGGCTTTAACAGGGAGCCAATGTAGCTGTGAAAGCAATGGTCTTTGCATAATGGTATGGATTTATTTTGTTCATGTTTAAGAGAAGCTTGGAGAAAATATTTGTGATGAAAGCCATTTTAGTTCTTAAACAAAATGCTAAAATGTAAATTTGCTCTGGAGGCACATGAGGGATGACAAAAGAAAAAAGAAAATCCAGGGCTCTAGAAAGTGTAAATCACAGGAAATAAAGGGACCAATAAGTCTTCTGACACACACCACTTTAGGTTTCTTGATTAGGAGTTGGTGGAAGGTTTTGTGACAGAAAACTCTAGAATGACACACCATCTGGCACTGTCGATATGGATTGCCAGATTTTTCAAAGATTTTGTTATTGATAAGTTAGACAAAAGTTAAATGTTCATTTTCTGAACTGAACCTGTAAATCTATACTTCTCGAGATTTCCTAGAAGTCTGTATCTTTTCTGTCATGACGGGTGTGTCACACAGCCTTATAATTGTATCTGTGGGGGGGGTTTGTTCTTTTAAAAAAATTGATATGTTTTGTTTTGCTTTATTCCTTAAGAGTTTCCTCTCTTTTTATGGAGCTCTTTGCCCCTTTTGAAAATACAAGTTGCTTTAATAAGTTAACATGTCCCAGTTCTGTTTATGTGTGTTGCTTACAAGTTGTACACATGTACAAAGAAACACACACACTTCTTACTGTGAGTAAATAGTGTAGTCAATAAAGCTTTTCCTGCCCATCACAAAATGCACAATAAAACTGCAATTACTCATACATTTGTAATTTATGTCCGCTTGGGCATCGTCATACAAGTGTCAGTTTAACAAATGTGTGTCCCCAGTAACTCAAACAGGTAATTTCAGCGAACATGCTTTTTTATGCCTCTGTTTCAATCTTTATACTAGAAAGTTTTCCCTCTCATATGATTTCTAATTCTCACATTTAAGAATGAAAGTGTTGCTGGTCTTTATTCTCAACATGCTGGCCAGCCTTCTAAGCTTGGCGGGGCCTTACACATAGTGAGGAGGGGCTGCAGACTGATTGCCTGTGCAATTGACAGGGCCAAAGAGATCTTAAATAATATGAAAATCATACACATAATTGTTATTCGTATTTGTGTTAGTGCAATATATTTTTTGGTAGGAGTGTGTCCATTATGATGGAGGGTCCATAGCAATTTCTCCCTTAGTTCCTTTCAAATGCAGCTGTGTTGAAAGGCTCTCTCAGAGTTGACTTTGTCTGTTTTATCAGCCAGTTTAGTTAACCATTTCAAAGCTGCCTGTTTGACGTCGCTGGGTTTCAGGACATTTGAAACAATTAAATCAAACTGTCTCTGTGTGTTCATCAAATTTGAAATGATTGGTTTTGAGTTAATTACATTTCAGAATGAAAAAATGACCAGACTCTAATGTGTCATTTGTTGTTTCTGTTTTCTCTCTGTTTTTGGTTGTGATGAGAAAGAACAGTCTCAAATCTCAGCTGAGCTTCCATTGAAAAAGAAAGAGGGGAAAGGGCAAACGAGAAGAGAGGGGAGTAATCAATTACTGCCATCTGAGAGAGTTAATGTCGGGATTATGAAAAACGACCTGCCCAGGTTAGATAACGTGCTGGGTCCGAAGGTTAGGCTGTTATTGTTGCTCTTGCTATGTTCTCTTATTTCATTTTCTGTGTCTCTGTAAGAGTGATGCTCATCTCTCTAGATTCAGTGTTCAAATATCCACTCAGTTGTTGTTGGTTCACTTCATGAAAATTTGTCATGATGGCGGGTTAGCAGTACAAGTACTCACTTACTAACTTAACTTGTAGATATACACATTTTGCTGATTGTCCAATATTCATGAAAGACTCGAGTCAAAATGAAACGGTAGCTTGAGTTGTTTATCACAGATGGTTTTCATAAGAGGAATGTATTGAGGGCGAGTGGTATGAAAATTTTGTCTTGAAATTGCATCCTTAGAAACCCTTAATGCAGGATAAAAGTGAACAAGAGATTTAAGAAATACCCTCATTCTTCTTTCCCAGTCGGAAAATTGGAAGTAAAACAACAAAACTGTACAGACTTTTCCTGCTCCTGAGGAACAATGTATCTCAGAACCATACATATTTTTTAGAATAGATCAGATTCTGGGGACTCTCATGGTATAGAGGTACAATGTTCACCTCTCATTTAATAGGTCCCAGGTTTGAAACCTGACAGTGACGGAAAATTTACTTCTCTAAAATTTTCTCCTTTCTCCTCCTTTCTGGTTTTCTAGTTCTGTTCTGTTGCCTACTTTCATCTCCACTTTCTGCCCCCCCCCCTCCCCTCACCTCCGGTCTCCTCAGGGCTCCTCTCCCCTTTACTCTTCTCTTTCTACTGTCCTCCTGATCCCTTCTTACTGATGTCTTTCAGCCATACTCCTAATCTTAGGATAGGTAAGATCTAACACCTAACCTTCTCGGATAAGGACAAAAAATGTAGGAGGTCCTTTAAAATTCCTTGGTGGTTCTTAAATCAAAGAGTAGGCTTCGGCCACCACCCAGGCAAATCAAAATTCCTACCAAAACTGAAAATAATCTAGTCTGTATAAAAAGGTATAAGAAGGCTACCTTCAAAATCGAAATGTGGCTGCCTGATGGCAAGGTGCTCTACGAAGTAGGAAAAATCGTCACTCTGTTGAAGAAACAGCAGACTACCCCTGAGATCTAGATTATTTTTATTAGTACTATTGTTATTATTAGTACTGTTATTATATTTCAGAAATTAATTATGAATTATGCAATCTCTGAAAGCTGCCATTAATTGTAATTAATTGTTCTTCAATACCTTTTGCTTTGTAATAATGACACTATTGGTTAGGAGGGTGCCTCTGCTGGGACCTACTCTTTTAATATGGACCTGTTACAGTCAAACCTGTGTAAGACGGCCACCCATTGTCAAGGAGAAAAGTGGCCGTATAAGACAGGTGGCCGTCTTAGGCAGGACTGATCAAGATGAAGAAAGTAAACCCCATTCCCAATCAAAAGTAGCCGCATTATTGTTGTTTTTGTTGGTGGTGGTGGTTTGTATTTTGTTTGTTATTTTTATTTTGTGCAAGGGTGACAATAAAACGAAATGTTTCAGACAAGGAGGACCGAGGGCTATAGTAAAACAAACATATGGGTGGCCACCACTCGAAAAACGAGCGACGTTTCTGTCACAAGTCCTTGTTGACGTCCATTGTTACTTTGTTACAGACTGGGTAAACAGTGACCACTTATCTCACTTACGATTTGTGTATGAGCTCTGGGCGGGGCTTATGGGTTATGAGGGATCACATGCTTCCCTCACCAGCAGCTGGAAATTGGTACCTATTGGTCAACAGTGGGAGGGGCCTACACAACAGGATCGGTTGGAGGGACTACCTAACAACAACGACCGGTGATTAGATTATGATGGCTCGCCCACAACGCCAGGGGTCAATGCACAATTAATGACAAAACGTAATGAGTGGAGTCACTAAGGTGGCCGTCTTGGACAGGTGTTAATGCTTAGTGTGATAGGGGTTGTGTGTTAAAATATGGTGGCCGCTGCCGCGTTGGACAGGTGCCCGTTTTACACAGTTAAATTATATAGAAAAAACGCAAGGGGGGAAATGGAAAGTGGCCGTTTGTACAGGTGGCCGTCTTATAGAGGTGGCTGTCAGGGCAGGTTCGACTGTATTTCTGTTTGTCTCTCTTTTTTCCAACACCTAATGACCATTAACAAGTCCAATATGCTTTTGTTGTTCTAAGTAAAACAAGCTTTCTAATGTAAGTAACTACATAGTTATGGCGCTTACTGTTTAGAAGGGTGTTAGAATTGATACCAAAAATAAGAGTATAACAAAACAAAGTGATCTGGGGTTTTTTTCCCCAGGGCTGGTCCAGGACTTTTTCATCTGATCAAGTTTGTGAAAGATAATCAGAAGGTGAGCAGGTATTGTCAATGACGAGTCATCAACTCACAGGGGACACACCAGTGTAGTGGTTAGGGTCTTTGTCATCGCATGCAAAAGATGTGAGTTCGATTCCCATGTGGGTAGAATTTTTATTGAGCATCTCCATCTTTACTTTCGGCTGGGACGTTTAGTCCCTCTCGGCCCGCATAGGCCTTGACAGACAGGATTGAAGCAGCCCACTTCCTAAGTGATCTAAATTGTGTGGATGAGGGCATAAAACATCTACGTTTACAATTTGTAATTGCAGGGACACACTGAGCTTCGTTACAGTTTAGCACCTGACGGAGTGCTTCATTTGAATGATGTTCTCAAAACTCGGATAGTGACAGGGGGGGGGGGCATGTAGATTTTATATGAGTGGCTGGAGCGGAAGTTTAGATGGACTTTCTGTATCATATGCTCTTATCTCACTTTTGATCTCTGTGAGACATCATATCTGCAGATGAGTTGAAGACGGTTGGTGGATTCTCTGGCATTGTCTGCTCCTTCCAATTTATTCTAAAATTTCTGCATGTCGTTTCCTTTTCTTTTCCAAGCACATTGTGACAGTTGTCATGGTAATTTATCATAAACTGTAACTCCATTGCCATTGTGAATAAATTTACAAAGCTCAATTTAACTTCTGAAAGAGTGAGACTGTTTTAGTTTTTACTTTCCTTACAACATAATAATTTTTGTTTGGGGGGGGGGGGGGTGGCTCCACAAGTAAATGTCTGTCTCAGATTATGATAAGACAGGATGTAGAGTCTTGGGACACTCTTGTGTCGATGCATGTTCTGACATATCCGTTATAATCCAGGTAGCTGATATTTAAGTGAAGTTTCTTTGAGCCTGAGATAGGGGTGTACTTAGATGAATGTGAGGTTGTTCATGTAAAGATAAAACTTGTAAAGAATGGTATTGACTCTAAGGGTCTTACAGAGCTGTAATAATTTCCTCACCCAAAGCATCTTGAAAATAATAGTGATAGTACTGTAGATTTAACCCTTACAGCACCAAGCTATTTTAAACCCTCATGTACCTCTAGCTCAGGTAATACAGGAGTCCGTGACTTCTCAGCCCCAGCCAGTACTGACTGGGTCTGTAATTTTGTGCTGACAAAAAAAATTCTATACTGCTTTTCTTTGAAGTTTTAAAAGATAATGTAGAATATTTTTCAGAGACAATTCGCTACCTAAGAATTTCAAAGTTTTATCTGCTCAGTACCTAGTTTTGAGAAATTTGATGTAAAAGATTTTGAGTTTCTCATCATGTCAAGCTTTTTCAAATGCAATTTTACTAATATCTTGATAAAGACTCCAAATAATCTTACGATTTTGATAGAACAGATAGAATTTTGGGTTTCTGACCCCATGGTCTTAGTAACAGAAAACAGCCAAAAATGTCAGGTTGCGAATTGCAAAGGTTACGGTAGAAGTACCCGATGGGATTTGAGGTGGCCTGCTTCCTGTAAGGGATGTATGTGACTGGGCCTGGGGGAAGGAGAACTGGTGAGGGGAATATATGTGGCTGAAACTTGAAGGTTTAATAAGCATCTGACTTCAATAGAGTTGCACTGTTCGCTGTGTATGTTGCAGAATTATGTGTATATAAATTACATTTTGTCATGACCATCTTTTAGAATAAGAAGTCTCAACTTTAAAGCAAGTTTGTTTAGCTCTGATATTTGAACAATTTTAAAGTTTTGTTTCTCTGATGTATTGACATTGTCACTTTGTGGTAACTTTAAACAAAAATAGGTAGCATTTTGTAGGCACATATTTTCCATTGTTATGAGATGTGTACATCTCTAATGCAAATTGTAGAAGTTTTCTTATATTTTAGTATTGCACTGTTTTTCACCAGCTTTGAGGGAATAAAGGATATTTTAATAAATTTAGATCCTTTTGCTTTGCAGTTCATTGTTGTCATTTTGGGTTTTTTAAATTTCTGTTATCATCCAAAAAGGCAATGACAGATCAAGGCAGAGGAAGGTTATTTATTCGAGCCTGTCTTGTGAAGAAAGACCTGGCGTCCTTGGTGCAGAAGTTAAGGGATGATACAGCCTTTATTGAGGTACAACACTGCATTTTCCTATTTTTGTGATCTTCCTTGTATTCTATATACACAAAATTACAGGCATATTAACTTTTTTTTACTTGATTGAGGAAAGCTAACAAGTGTTACAGACAATAATTATTAATTTTATTCTCTGCTGTCATAGTCACCTTATTCCTGTCATTACTGTCAGTCCTTGTAGTAGTTGTAGGCATTCTTGTTTCTGTAGGATTACATCACTGACATTGTAATGATGTGTGCCCTATAAATAGTGAATGTCAGTACTGAATTTTGCTTCGAAAATTTTGATGGCAAAATCTATGTTGTGGCATGCTTGTCTACCCTTCTTGCTTGTGGCTTTTTTTTTTCAGATACGGAAAGGTCCCATACTTTAGCATATGTACAAGTCCAAACTCCCCTATATAACGTCAAAATTTTGAGACTCTGAAATAATGGTCTTGGTTAGAAATTTCTTTAATTAAAGTGTAATCAACATCATTAGATTGTGGACTCAGTTTTCCTTCTCTTTATATTTCTTCAGATGTGGTATGATTCGACGTCCATACTCCGCGATGATATTTTGTCAGGTGTGTATACATGTGAACTTTTTTTTTTGTCAGTGATTTCACTTTTATTTCTGATGGAATAGTTGTCCCCTTTTTCAGTGTCTTTCAGCCTCAAGTGCTGTTGGCTGTTTTCTCTATGCCTCTTTTCTTTTAAGTCCCTTTCTTTCTTTCAAATTGTAATTCGTCATTTGCACTTACCTACTTACTTAAACTTACTTACATGTGCAGAGAGTTATCAGTCCCTCTATGATTACAGTGCATTTCTGTATGAGGCGTGTTTGAAAATTGAAATATAGACATGCATAAGTCATCACAGATGCATATTGCTTCAGTTTAACCTATGGGTATCAAATCTGAAGATGTATGCAGTGCCCTTTGTCTTTGTGAGAGAGAAGATCCTTATTTCTGGTCTTATGAATGTGTAACATCATTTAAAAGATGGGCTGCTCCCATAGAAAAGCAGGCAAATGTGAAGGCATGCTATTTACAAAAAAAGATTCCTTGTATACTTAATATTGTGTTTGGCAAACATGAAATATTCAGAAGTGGAGATTGGTACCGTATTGTGTGTTCAAAGAAAAGCATAGGAGTTTACAGGAAGATATTGATATTCTTTGAGTAGAACATCCAAGATCCTCCATGATAAGGAATATTGCAATTATCTAAAGTGGAGCCTCCTTTCTGAGAGTGCAACAGAACTTGATTATTCATAATCAATGGTTCCTGAAATTAACCATGGGATATCTGGAAGTTGGGAGAGAAACTGCACTCTGATAGTGTCAAGGACCTACATGTTAACACCATTCCTAACACATCAGTTTTATGTGCATTTCTCACGGGTGTGGGTAGTCTAGTGATTAGGCTACGGGACTGGTAATCATATGGTTGCGGATTTGGGGGATCGAACCTCAGGCCCAATGTTCTTAACGTGGAAATATTGTATTAAAGCAGCCCATGTATACAACATTTTACCACTTGAGATTGGTAAATCTATCAATGGTAAGAGTTTGACTGACCCCCTACCTCTTTGAAGGTACTCATATCCCTCAACTTTAGGGTTTTAAGCTGTGAAAAATGAGTCCACAGCCCAACTTGTAGTTTATAATTAAGTTATTGTTACCGATACAACTTGTAACATTGAAAATTAACATAAAAATAATTAGTTCTTTTTAATCTTGAATTACTTGTACTTAAAAGACCTATCTGTGATACCTTACTCTTTTGTATTCCTAACCCCCCCCACACCACCCCTCAGAAATATTCCTCTCTCTCCTGGCTGAGGTTCAGAACATTCCGTTCAGTTTATATTTGAAAAACGCCAGCTTCCTGGACACTACCTGGGACATGGCTGTAAGTATTATTTAATAAAAGATTACAGAAGTGCATGCTGTAGAGGAAACAAAGGATAGAGTGCTGGCATCTGTGGTGTAGTGATTAAACGCTTCTCTGTAGCATGCTGGAGACTAGAGTTCAATTCCTAAGTGGGGATAATTTTTAAAGAGTGTATTGGTCTTTTTGCTGGGATGTTGTCTCCCTCTCAGCCCAGGTTGGCTCTGACAGGCAGGGTCAGAAGCCCGCCTTATAAATGATCTAAATTGTGTCGATGGGGACATAAAAATATCGTTATCTAAAAAAAAAGATAAAAGGACATCAGTGTTTGTACAGGGGGACAAAGGATTTAATAACATTGGTGCACATTTTAGGAGAAATAAAGGTTAAAGTGCCTTTAGTGCACATAATAGGAGAAAGGGGGAAACAAAATATATAATAATATTAGTGCAGCTTTTAAGAGTAGCAAGGGATATAGTGATATAAGCACACATTCTACATGGAAACAAGGAATATATTGATGTAAGTGCACACTTTAGAGGAAACAAATGATTGAGTGACATCAGTGGATGTTGTAGAGGAAACAAGGGATATGATAACATTATTGCGCATTTTAGTGGAAACAAGTAATATAGTAACATTAGCGCATGTTTTAACACATTAGTGACTATATGTTGGCATTATGAGCCTGTTCCAGAGGGGTACTATAATTACATAAATAAATTGTGAGCTTTAAACTTTTGTGCAAATGATCGATGGTGGATGCTGTGATGTGGTCTGCTCCTTCTATTTCCATTAGTGTTACTAATATCCCTCTCTTCTCCATGCAATATATCGGCTTCTGTAGTGTAATGGTTAGACTCTTCACTGTTGCTAACAGAAGATGTGAGTTCTATTCCCAAGTGAGGAAGTTATCTTCTCGGGAAATCGCGTCTTATCTGTTTGGATGCCGTACAACACACAGCCCAGGTTGACCTTCACTAGAAGGATTGAAGCAGTCCGTCTCCTACATCTAAATTTGGCCAATGGGGCTGTAGTACTTTTTACGATCAATCACTAAGCTGATGTATAGCTCTTGCCCTGCTGGCACTTCCGGAAGTCTCCCTCTGCAACATTTCCTTGTGTTTGCTCTCAAGTTTTGCTGGCACTTGAGGGGTGTATTCCCACTTACTTTACCAACTCTACATTGGGTATAAAGACGATATTTTCATTTCTTGTTTGTTTTTTGTCAATCAGGAGTACAGAGACTATGAATTCGTCCCATGCAATGTACTAGGAGTCCACTTACAGTAAGTATTTCTCATACATTTAACCATTATGTGTACTCTGGTGGAATGCCAATTTAATAGTTTCGTTCTTTTTAGGGTACTGTGTTTGAAAAAATTCTTTTTTACTCTCAATTGTTTCATCTTTTATTTGACTATGAATATTATAACAGTTACAAGAGATTGTTAATTAGTTACATACATTTTCAAACAAGTCCCTTAAGCTGTCAGCTTTACAGAATCTAGTGAAAGTTTTACCAGAACTCTCCCTTTTCTCGATCTTTGACATATTTAGCTCTACATGTGACATTTCTTTGTCCATTTGTGGCCCTTTTTACATTGGTGTTTCTGTCCTTTTCAGCTATGTGGACACGCATCTTGTGGTCACTGATGTGGACGCTGAAAGTGTTGCTGCTGAAGATGTAAGTGTTCTTTGATCAGACGGAGAAACAGTCTCCTCCTATATGAACGGAATTTGTTGTGTGTTTACTTTTTCCTCAATACAGATACAGCAGAGATAAAGATATGTTTTCACTCACTGTTGTCTGTGATTTACTTTCATAGAAATGCTCAGGATCATTGACACAACTAGTGAATCACAATGTGATTCACTATTTAAGGTGGACATGGTGTAAATGTAGATATAATTATTTGTGTATATTTTTTTCTGTATAATTTTGTAAAGTGTATTTCTTATTTGTTTTCAGGGTAAGATAAGCGTTGGTGATGTCATGGATGAGCTGTATACAGAGAGCCTTCGAGGGGCAAAGAGAGGAAAGGTAAGGTGGATTAGGCTGTCGGTGCTTTTATTCTTTGACTGTATACTACAGGATGATATACTCCTCTGAACAAGAGTCTTCAGCGATAAATTGACAATATACCTAACAGTGATGATGATGTTTTGTTTTATTTTTCAAGCTGAGGTTCTTTTAGTACAATAGTTTGATGGCAAAAACTATGTTGCCGCAAAGGGTCCAACTCCAACACTCAGTAATGTTGATCTTGCCACTGGCATTGTTGATGGGTGGGGGTGGGGGTGGGGGTTGAAGGGGAGAGGGGGGAGTTGGTATTTTTTTCTCAAACAGAAGAGTGAAGAATGAATCGTCTTGTAATATACAGGTTTTACTGTATTGAGCACAGATGACTCTTTCTTGACCTTTTGATAAACTCTGAAGTCTCTAGTTGTAAAGCATCGTATACACGGACTGCTTTGATGGATATTTTCATGTTTTAAAAAAATATTAATCTATGAGCTGTTTGCTTTCATGTTTTGAGCTTGTCCTTCCAAGAATTAGAAATGCTTAAACTTGTTCGTATAATCCCTGAGTTTTGTGCAATTGATGAATGATGGAAGGATGGCAGACTGAAAGTAGAATAAATAAATGAAGGTAAATTTGATGAAACAATCAAACTTAGAAGAATGTCATGAATGTGAAAACATACCAAGTTTAGCTTCATACTACTACAGGTCTCGTTGTCATGAAAATAAACAATTATTCTTGTTGTGGTCTTTATTATGTGATTTTTTCTTGGTTTGTTATAGAAACAAGTAGATAGCAGGGCGTTGATTGGCTAGTCTGATTATGTCATCATATTATGAGTTTTTTTCTCCACTTAGAAAGTCATAGCATGTATCTTCGCGATTTGGGGGGGGGGGGTTATTTTAAAGCATTTGGTTTACAGGGGTAGGCCCAGAACAACATACTTAGGGAACCTAAACAAATGGGTAACAGGGAAAGATCAGGGAAACGTAGCTTTTCTGAGAGCATTCGAGCAAAGGAATGAATGGAAAATCATGATCGCCGATGTCTGTCGCAGATCTGGCACTGGATGATGATGATGATGGTGTACACTTAAGTAACCTTAGAGTGGCCCTAAGTTCACATTCCAAATTACAGCATTATTGGATGATTGGTTATTAAAAGATCTTTTTCTTCCCCTTAGAATAATGTTAATGAAATATCCCAACAAGATCCTTGTTAACCATATTTTTTTAAGCTACAAATTTTGACCAATAGGATGTGCCCAGCAATTTCTGGGAGGGTAAGAATTTGCCTATTGATTTCTTGCTCTTCTGAAGGGTGCCACAAGTACACTATTTTTATTTACTATCATTTTGCTGTTTCTGTCTATGTCTTACTTGTTCCCAGAGCTACAAGAGAATTGCTGTGCCTGTATTCTTTTTTTTATTCACTCAAACATAGACATTGCTAATTTTTTCTTTGATGGTTCTCCAGGTGAGGGATCTGTTCCAGTTGTACAAGGGGATGCCAGTCTATGTCAGTTTTGTCAAGGTAATTGATTAGAGCGTTCACACTGCAGGTGGTTGGAGGACGCCACTGTGGGTCCAATTTTTTCCCCCTCTTTTATTTCTGTGTGTCTGTATTGAGATTTCTTTACTCTGAAAGACAGTTATTGTGTCAATGTACTTGTTTTTACTCAAACAAAAGCAGTGACAAGGTATGTAGATTTTCTCACATGTACACCCTCCAGTTTCTGAGTTTGAAGGCCTTGGATTGACATGAGATAAGCAGGAGAGGTAGGCCCAGGGCAGAAATGTCAGGACAGGCAGAAATTGGGACCTGTACTCCTTTTGGAAGACAAAGGCTGATGATGATTAAGTCATACCTGAGACTGTACTGTTCTATGTGATTTTCCAATTCCGTGGGTACAAACTTCTTTTCAAAGACATAGTTATACCATCTGAGCTTCAGAGTTCCTTATTTCCTTTGTCTATTCTTTTTTTCTTTTGTCCGCGTACTTAAATTTTTATTTTTCCTGAACTGAGTTGTGTACTTTTAGAATGATTATATGTTTGAAATTCATTGTCAAGATGTGAATTTTCATTTGCCACTTTTTGTAATTTCAATTTACTACCATTGTGTGTAGTGTGCCCCAAGAAGCAGCCCAATGGATTGGTCCATCATTGGAACTCTATAAATGAATACAGGGGTTCGCTCCTACATTATAAGTTTTATTATGTCAGTTGACTTACAATAAATTTTATTAACAAATAAGATTTTCTTTATGGCAGACTTCCAAAGACACCTCTTGTGTGCTTTGTTCTATTGAGCATAGACAGGATTATAAGTTGCTTGCCTTTAGAATAAATTATTTTTATGTAAAAGTGACGCAGAAGTCACAGAAAGATATTTATTACAGGCTCGCCTGCCAAATGGTGAAATCTACCGGCCCATCGCTCAGCTGCTGAGAGAGGTGGATATTGACCTCTCTCACATGCCCATCAAAGGAGAGCCTCCAGCTGACAACTCTGTCTATCGCAAGCCAGCTCATGCTGTTCTGCCGGAGGAAGAAAAAGATGAGATTCCCGTTCATGGGCCGGATGGAAAGTAAGTGGATAAGTGGTCCATTGGTGGGATAAATGTGATAAAAAATCCTAAGTTGAAGGTTGGTGGTATGCAAGTCAATACATTACAAGCAAGCTTTAGTATCTATAAATGAGCCAACTGAACAGGCTCAGGTTCAGTCTTGTAATTTCCAGATTTTTTTTAGATTGTCAATGTTAATATTGTTACTTTGTTAACCATCCGTGCAGAGAAATGAATGGTGATCTATGCTCGTTGATGTCTTTTTAGACCTGGCACTTTTAAAAAATTGGGTTGATTCAGATTGGTTGTTTTTTTTAACAAGATGAGACTATGTTCCAACACTCATGATGTCAGACTGTCTTTCATATAGTGCATTTCCGAAATCTTTTAGTGGATTTGTTCATTTATCATTCAAGGGATTCTTTTCCGCTTAATAAGCATAACCACACCATGTTTTGTTGCATGCCCTTTCAGTGGGAGAAATTTGAAAGTCTTGCTATATCTCTGTGGCATCTCTGATTTGTATAAAAAGAAAAATTAACATTCGTTTACTTGAGCTGTGTCTGTGAATGTATCAGTATACTTTATCTTTATCACTTTAATGTAGCAAAAATTAATCTTTTGCTCCTGATGTAAAAAGTTGCATATATACTACTGGACGTTGGGATTTCTATTTCTCCACTTCTCAATTATTTAACATGCATAAATCGTGCAGATATGGAGCTGTATGATTTTTTATAGAATGTTTGAAGTCACAATATTTGTTGGTCAGTCAGTGGTTGAACTGCTCAGACTGCACAACATGAAGTCGCCGGTCCAAAATCAAACAAGTAAGATTATAATAGGGGGTACCCACTAGCAAATGCGGATTGGGTGGTGTCGCTTTCTGGCGGTTTCAATGCACACTACTACACCTGGAAGTTAAAGTAGAGAAACCTTTTACCTACATGTGACTACACAGAGAGCGTAAACCGAGCTATGATTGGCTGAACTTTTGACCTATAAATACATTAAGTATATCTAGGCCTACGGTACTCTTGGACTTGCCGCACTCCCTCTTTCTGTCTCCCTCTCTCTGTCTCCCTCTGTATGTGTGTGTGTGTGTGTGCGTCTGTGTGTGCGCGCGCGTGTGTGTGTGTGTGCTTGCTTGCTAGCTTGCTTTAGTGTCTCTCCTTTCTTGTCTATTTCTCACTTCCCATATATATCAGAGACCTAGACCAATGTAACCATTGCTAGGTCTCTGCATAATAATATATCTCTTTTCTTATCTCTCTCACTCCCAGTCACTCTCACCACCCTCCCTCTGTTATGCTCCTCCTCCTTCTTCTTATTCGTCTTCTTCTTCCTCTAGGCCTATGAGCGCTCCAAACCCGCTGTGAGAAGTTGGAAGATGGTCAAAGGCGTGAGACCGAAACCGGGAATTCCCACAGTACCTACTTAATGTATTCATGGGTCAAATGGACAGATGACTCAGCCTTGTTGTGATTGGCTGTAAACCACCCGATCACGCGATTCGCAGGCCTGAAAACAAACGCGTTTGTCTTTGCAGGTCACAAACTGAGTCTATCGGTTTGTGCCACAACAGCTGTTTTGCACCCTCAATTTGGCTAGCCCTGACTACCCAATCAGCCCAGCCCGACCTGACCCAACTCAACCCGATCGCGTATTTGGGCACCCCCTATAAAGAACCCATCTCCTTACGTGAGTCGCGACGTCTAGCAGTGCGCGACCGTTGCCAATGATTGGTCCAAGTAGCGCTCAAGCGCCTCGTCATGTGCGACAAACTGGGAATGTGACAGGTTTAAAGCTTTACCAAGGAGTGCCGGTTGACACGCCATGTGCGTGGTCTGTGTATGTATGGAGGCACATGACCCATGCACATAGCGTCTTAGGCTCGGCTTTTGGCTATGTGCAAAAAATAACATTGCAGAAACAATAACAGGACTATTCCAAACTGCTGTTTGTTCAATCGAAAATACCTTTTGAAGTTGACTTCATTTAGCTCCAACTCTATCATTAGATGATGGAAAGCTCCGTATTCTTGTCACTTTTGATACATATCAGACCAAGTATCTTGCGACTGAAAATTTTTGCACAATTTGGTCGCGCAAAAGAATACACACCTCGCATCTCATCGCTAGGGACTGCTGCGCAGGACTTAACGCGACACGCATTTGGAAACACTCTTAAGCAAACGGGGATTATGTTAAGTCCGAAGTGGGTGATTAATTTACTTTCAAAGTTTCTTTTTTGTGTGACAAGACCATAGTATGGTCATGTAATCGTTTTGCAGCTCAAATTGATGCACTGTACTGAACTCAGTTTATTGTGTGTTATTGCAGGGCAGAGTTCACTGTAGTCTACAGAGGGTTTTATCCCTTAGCAGAGGTAAACATTTTATTATCTTTTTTTTTTTTACCTCCATTTCTCTTGTCATAGGATCCGCACAGTATCATTATCATCTTAGAAAAGGGTTCCAGGCGGTGTCATTTCCATTGCTGCTTCATCACCAGAATGTTTGGGACTACGTGTGATTTTTAGCTGAGGGGAGTTTATGCCTATAGTTTCATGTACTGACAAGTGAATGTTGTAGTTTCTTGTGCAAACAAGGAATGAATGTGTTCACAATGACCTAATGTTCTGCTAATTGTTGAGGTGTGGATACCGAGCATGCTGGACGGGTTGGTGTGTGTATCATCAACTGAAACTGCAATGCTAAAATATGTGTGTGTGTGTGCGCGCGTGCGTGTGTATGTGTGCATGTGTGTGTGCACCCCCCCCAAATAGACCCAGCGTCTTTCTCTTCGAATAGGAAAAGAAAAAGAGGAAGCTAACGGGTCAAGGGGTGACCCCGAAAAGAGACATATTACTTTACTATGTTTCTTACTCTTTCTATTTATTGTTTTTATTGTTTTACTTTATTACATTTATTAACTTTTCTTTTCTCCTCTCTCCATCGACAACCTTTCTTTGACCTGGAGTTGGGACGGGTATTGGTGGGGTGGAAAGCAGAGGTTCATTGTCAGCACTGTACTGGATGTGACTTTACGTAGAGAATACCCAGCTACATACATGTATTAAGCATGCACTTATCGGAGAGCCCTATGACTGCGGAGAAGGTGCAGAGACCATTTGCGTCTTGCTTGTTGACAACATTAACCCTCTGGGATCTGCCATGCCTTCCCCTGCCCCCATCTCTCGGATGAGAGGACTTGGTTGCTCTGGGAGGGGGGGGGGAATCTAGTTTCCAATTGGTATTATTACTACTATTAGAATTATTATTATATTATAATTTTTGTATTTCAGCAACACACAGCAACTATGCTCTTAATAGCGTCTTTCTCTTCTTTATCTCCTCAAACAACTCCTCAATATAATACAACAGACACCAACATACCCATTCATTTTTCTTACAATCTCTCTGTGATGGAGTTGGGTTTTTTGTTTGTGGCATTGCACCTACAGCCACTGCTTTATCTCCTACCCCAGGATGGAAGGAAAATCCCAGAACCACCAGTTTTAGATGCTATTCACGAATGATAGAATCCCATACGAATTGAGATGCCGTCTCGGTAATCAAGGTCTCCCCCAGGTCTTAGTGGGCAACCAAGCTGGCCTGGTGGATGGTTATTGGAAGGAAAAGAAAATCAGAAAGCAGAGAAAATGGAAAAACAAGAAGAAAACACCCCCTACAACTGGTAACGGAAAAGAGAAGCTTATAGACTTCAATATTCTTCAGGCAAATGTCTGTGGCTTGGACAAGAAGAAAACACAATTGGGGAAAATTTTGTATGAAAGGAAAGTCCACATTGCTCTATTACAGGAAACTCCATTCATCCTGTAACATAAACATCACTGGGTATACCCCTTATCCATGTAAATGTGAAGGTTGCCAAGGGATTATAACCTATATCAGAAATGACATCCTGGGTGAAGTAGAGCTCCTTAATAGGCACCCCACAGACGCACATAAAGTCACCCTGTGGTATGGCAACAGCAAGCTCATACTCTATAACATCTATTGTCCCCCAAGTAGCACTCTGAACTTCTTGGAACAGAGTACTATCTTTAAGAAGACGGTCATAGCTGGTGACCTTAATGGACACTCCCCCCTTTGGGGCTATGCTGACCAAAACAACACAGGTAAGAGGATTGAAGAACTATGTCAGTCCTCTAACCTCATCCTTCTCCAAGATGAGGATTCAACCAAAACACTTCTTCATAGGAGACATGGGACCCTCCACAGACCAGATCTCACCCTGGTCTCTGCTGATTTACACAACTACTGCAGTGACGAGGTGCTAGACTGTATATCTAGTGACCATCGTCCCGTTCTCACCAAAATCAGTATACTGAAACACAGACAAAGGAAAAGAAGAACCCGTTGGAACTTCAAGAAGGCAAACTGGGATCTCTTCAGAAAAACAGCTGAGGACACCGTTAAACTGGATGATCTAGACAATAAAAGTATAGACACCCTTAATAGTGAACTCACCTCCACCATCTTAGATGCTGCGAAGAAGAGTATCCCACAGGGGTGCAGAACCAATTATAAACCCTTTTGAAACGAGCGCTTGGAGAAAGCTACAAAAACTAAAAATAATGCCAGACATGAATATGAGAAAGATCTAAAAAAATATGGCAAGAAAATTAGATACAAAAAGGCTGTAGCAGAGGCTAAACTTGTCACCAAGGAATCTAAGAAGGAAGCCTGGACGCAGAAGTGTGAGGGACTCAATTTACATCAAGGTGGACGTGAAGCTTGGTCTCTTCTAAATAACCTCACTGGCGAAAAAAGGAAAGAAAACCCCAAACCACTACACACAGAAACCGAAGTTCTCACCAGCGAGTTAAAAAAAGCCGTACACTTCAATAAACATTTTGCCTCCATTAACAAAAGCAGCAAAAGGAATGACTTGGACAGGGGTCTACTGAGTGTTCTGAAAGGAAAAGAGAGAGATTTGATACCGAGTATCTTCCAGGACTTCTTAACTAAGCGAGAGTTAGACTGTGCAATGAAGAAACTGAAGAAGCGAAAAAGCCCAGGTCCTGATAAAGTACACAATGAGATGCTACAAAACCTTGGTGAAAAAGCCAAATTGCTACTTCTTAAGCTCTACAACAGAACATGGACCGAGGGACATCTGCCTAAAGTATGGAAACTAGCTACTATAAACCCAATCTTAAAGAAAGGAAAGAAGGCCAATGACCCTAAAAACTACCGCCCAATATCACTCACGTCCTGTATTGGCAAGCTCTGTGAAAGAATCCTCAATTCTCGTCTTTATTGGTGGCTTGAGTCTTCAGGTCTGATATCACAGTGTCAAGCAGGGTTCAGGTCAAAAGGCAGGACAGAAGACCAGCTTTTTAGGCTTACACAGAAAATCATTGATGGATTTCAAAGAGGGGAACAGACAACGGCTGTGTTTGTGGATCTCCAACAAGCCTACGATAGAGTGTGGAGGAAAGGACTACTCTTAAAACTGCAGAACATGGGAATCAAGGGAAATATGTACTCCTGGATTAAATCATTCCTTACAGATAGACTCATCCAGACCCAGATGGATGAAACCCTATCTTCAAAAGCAGTACTGGAGGAAGGACTCCCACAGGGATCTTCTATCAGCTGTATCTTATTCCTTGTCTTCCTCAATGACGTTTCAGATGTTCTCAGAACAGAAAAAGCCCTTTTTGCTGATGACCTGGTCCTTTGGCACACTGGAAACTCGACAACAATAAGCAGACGAAGACTACAAGATGATCTAAATTCCCTAGGAATCTATTGCCGTTTATGGAAGATGAAAGTAAATTGCGAAAAAACTGTCTACTCTGTTTTTACGAGAAGCTGTAACCTTGCAAATGCAGAAATCCCTCTCAAAATCGATGGTACCAACTTGAAAAAGGAGAATAACCCAGTGTATCTTGGAGTACAACTTGACAGCAAGCTCAACCTGAAACAACACACCAATAACCTAAGGAAGAAGGCTATGAAGAGACTTAATCTCATCAAACGACTAGCCAGTACCAACTGGGGATCAGGCAAGAACACCTTGAGAGGCCTTTATTTAGGATATACCAGAGCTGTTTTTTATTATAATCTTGTTCTACAGAACATTTGCAGTAAAACTACAAAGAACTCAATGGACACCATCCAAAACCAAGCTCTTCGTCTTATCTCTGGCGGAGTGAAAACCTCACCGACTGCGGTCCGTGAAATCCACACGAATATTGAGCCATTAGAAACTTGAAGAAAACGGGCAGCTTTAGAAGTATATGAAAGATCTAAAAGGTTAGAAAATAACCACCCTAATAGAATCCTTGTTGACAAGTGGAAACCTAATCAAAGACTAAAAAATACAAAATCTGTACTTGACTCTGTTCTCAATCTCCAAGAAAAACATCACCTCCTTGAAAGACGAGAACCTCTGGAAAGAGTTCCCTCAACTCTCCCACCACATCTCACCGTAGCAAAGCCAGAAATTAGGAAAACACTTTTGGACAACAGCAATAAAAACACATATCCTGTAGCACTAAAACATTCTGCCCTTGAAACAATTGATTCCTATCCACCAACATGGATCCACTCATACACTGATGGATCTGCCTTTAAGGCAACAATCAACGCTGGATATGAGTCAGTGATCAACTTGCCCAGTAGGATAAAAAAAAGAAGTCTTTAGTTCCATCGGGTCCTTCTGCTCCAATTTCATTGCTGAACAACAGGCTATCACCAACACAGCAAACTACATCAACTCCTTGTTTGACACTAACCCACTTGCTACCACAGACATTGTTATCTTTACAGACAGCCTTTCAACACTAGAGACACTTGGGAGTGGGACTGATGTGAACAAAGATTTATTGCACTTGATTTGGAGTCTACATAATTTGATAAGTAGGCACAACGTCAGAGTAGGCCTACAATGGATTACTGCCCACACTGGGATACAGCGAAATGAAAGAGCTGATGCTCTGGCAAAGAAAGGAGCTGGCCTCCCTCAGCCTGAAATTCCTATGAATTATACCACCTGCTGCCAAATGATCAAGTCAAAACTCAAGGAAGAGTGGATGAATGATTGGGCCACAGGTACAACAGGAAGGAGATTGTATGGCCACATGAATAAACCACTGGTCAAAGATCCAATCAATGAGTCGAGGAGGGGAGATCAATCCATAATCTTCCAACTTAGAGCACAACATGTACCCCTCAACCAACATCTCAACCGAATTGGAGTAAAGCAGTCTGCTGCCTGCCCAGTATGTGACTACCCCTCAGAGATAGTGGAACATCGTCTATTCTTCTGTAGAAAACTAACTGATTTAAGGGGATGTTTTCTTTCCAAGCTACCCCACACATCTAATTGCCTCTACTCCTCAAGACAACAATTAGAACAAACATGCAACTATTACCGAATGGCATCATGCAGAAGAGTTAACGCTCAGATGCTACTGGATCACTAACAACAACAACAACATGTGTGTGTGCATGCGTGCGTAGGTGCATGTGTAAGACAAAATTTGAAGCCCCTATGAAAGACTGTAAAGAATGAGTAGTAGCAGATCATCAAGAAAGATCTATCAATGTTGGAATACGAATGGCTAATGGGCTCAGACCATTGTTAAACCCGCCATTATTAGGATAGCTCACAAAGGGAAGAACTGAGGTGTATTATCCCTGGAAATGATAAACCTTTTGTATGATTAGAGTTGTAGGGAAATCATATGAAAGTTTTGATTTTACTGAATAATTCAAGAGAAATTTAGAAAGAAGTACCCAAATGTTTAATTCTAAGAGAGGAATGAACCAATTCCTAATGGAATTAACTCACCCCCCCCCCCCCCCCTTCCATTCTCCTGCTATTTGCTATTGTGGAAGTTACACCAAAAAAAACGTACATGGGAAAGAGTCATGAAAGTTGGTTTTCAAGCTGCATGTGACATTATTTATTACAACTTTCCCCATTATCTTCAGGACGGCCGTGTTGATAGAATTCATGATTCCATTGAGAATGTCATCACAGATTCGGGTCGGAGAAAAGAAGTAAGTTGAGAAGAATTGTGTTTTCTTTGAGGATGTTATTGAATGTTTTAAAAAAAAATTATTTCATGTAAGAATGCTTCTTGCCATATATTACTCTTTTCTCTTTATTCTAGTTACTCTAAGTAAAGACAAAAATCTGCTGTTATTGATGGCAACATGTTAAAGCTTTGAAGGAATGAATTAAGTTGTAGCTTTGTAACCCATATTCTTATAATGTCCTAACATGTCTCAGACCCTTTCTGCACTCTAGAGCCCAAAATAATGTTCTTGAATTAATATTAAATTTGACCAAGTTTTACAAGAAATTGTTCTTTAACCATTTTCCTTGGTAAAAAAGTCAAACTGGGTCCAGACTCAATTAATTCTGTTGTTTTAAATGCTTGATGTGACAGGTGGTAGTTAGCAGCATTGTTCAAACTTCTACATTTGTTTTCTAAATCGAGTTTGTTAAATTTTTGGTGTTTAGATACACTGTCTTAAAAAAAAAAGTTCCACAAATCTCTCCAGATCTTTATCCTGTGTTCTTTAGGCTATAATATAGACTTTAAAAATAAAAAAGAACTCAATTTTTTAAAATGTCAACATATTCGAAATTAGATCCCAAAAGGCCACATAATTTGATATGCACACTATTCGTAGATGACTGCGCTTCAGTCTGAAGAATTAAGAATGAAACACCATCTTAAAATTTGCAAATACCAATACGGTTTATGTTGATTTAGGGTATTTTAAAACGTTTTTTGCTTGCCACAGGTCGTTAAGATTGAAACAACTGAGACAGGTGTGGAGGTGCGCAGATTGTCTGACAATGAGGTAATGTGACTGACTGCTATCATGCTTTTGAATTTTATCAAAATGAGATTACTGTAATGTTGTTTTATCCGGTTTGACGGCCGAAAAGCTATCAAAGTTACAAGTACTCCAGAATCAATCAGCAAAATTGATAATGAAACAAAAGAAATCAGCGCACATAACACCAATTCTGAAAGAACTACACTGGCTGCTAGTAAAACAAAGGATCAAATACAAAACTGCCGTTTTCTGTTTTAAATGTATAAATGATACTGCACCTTTTTATCTTTAAAAATTCCTGGAATTATATCATCCACCCAGAGCCCTTAGATCAGCCTCTGACAATCTAATGGAAACTCCAAAACAAAATTATAAAACATACCCCGAACGTTCCTTTTTGTTCTTTAGTCCCCAGGTAAGGAACGAACTCCCATATAAAATAAGATGTGCCCCAACAATTTACATTTTCAAAAAACAGCTGAAGCGTTTCTTATTCACAAATGCATTCCTGTCATAATGATGAACTGTTATATATATATGCATGTGTATGCCAGACTGTGAGACTGAAGAAATAGCGTGTGAGAATAAGAGAAAGAGAGAGAGAGAGAACGGAAATGTCTGTCTGTGAACAAATGTTTTAATGAATATTTCTAGTTATTCATGTTTAAATTTTACTGTGACCGTTCGTGAATTTTTATTGCATTGTATATTTTTAGTGAACGCATTGCCAAGCTCACTGTGAGACTGTTTTTCTCATAGAATGTTTTTATATATATACATATATATATGTATGTACATAATACTGTGTTTTACGTACACACGTGTCGATTAATTTTTAAGATATGATGTCTTTTTTGATGTAATGCGCATTGAGCATTTTTTTAAAAAAGGAAATATCTAACACACCACGAAGTGTCTTTAGGCCATTCCCAAAGGGGGGACATTTCTCGTTCATGCACAGTAGAATTGTAAATGGGCTGTTTCATCAATGTCACGCTCATAACTGTGCCTGATCTACAACAGGGAACTGCTGCTTTTTCTTTCCTAATCCTTACTATTGTCATTTTCCTCTACTTCTTTTGTATGTTTGTCACACTCTTGTGACCCACTATTTCCGAGGTGCCTTGATAATCGAAGCAGACTTTGTGCTGTTGAAGCTAGAAAGGTGAGCAGAGTAAGTCTGATTCCCTGTAAGGACTTCTCTGTTGACATCCACCCCTTGGCGCTCATATGACGGTATGCAGTTGCGAGCGCCGTAAAACCTTTACTAAAACTAAAACTAACATACCACATTTAATATCTGTGCTATACAAGTTGCTAAGATAATATTGGGTTGTTTATAGAATAGTGTTCTCAACCTTGGATACTGATGGTTGGAATTCATGGAACTGTCTGAAAGACAAGGATCGTAGGTCTAGAAGATAAATAGGCCATAAGGGTATTGTCGCTATTGCAAGAAAAATAGGTTACTTTAACTTTCAAGGTTTTTTTTACCCACTTTCTAAACAAAGGTAATTCAGATTCCTCAATTTTTCTCACAACCACCACAATATGTATCGGTATGTGAAACTTTGTTACAACTGTCAGTCTAAGTAACAAGTTTTACTACTCTTGAGATTTAAAAAAGCACTTTTTTATGTGTCATTTGAAAACTGCAGAGGTTGTAAAAAGGAACGGATTTAAACACAAAACGTGTGGACTTTTGGTTTTTCCATGTTGAAAACAGCTCAATATTTAAATTCATCTATTTGATTCTGACTGATCAAATTTTTCTGACTGACAAATAATATATTTTGTCATTGTTTGTTCTCAGTTACTTCTCAACCATTCCTACACGGAAGTGTCAGCTTGTGGGAGACGTACAGATATGCTTCTGTATTTTGGATACATTGCTGGGTATGAGAGCAAGTCTTGTGATTTTACTAGGTCTGATTATTTGTTTTATATTTTACGCCCTCTTCAACACTGCTTAGACCCTTTATATAATTATTTGGCCCTCCTGTCAAGGTCAACCAGGGATGAGAGGGTATGACATCCAAACAGAAAAATTGATATATTATGTTCGATAAAAATACCTTCTCTGCACAGGGATTGAATTCACATCTTCTGTGTGCTGTGGCGAAGAAGCTAACCATTACACCACAGGCTAGGTCGTCCCCTGTCCGACTCTCAGAGTTATTAGAGATTGAGAAAGTAGACGTGATTTTTGTAGTCTTTGTAGGAAAGGTTTTTGTGAAGTTGTCAGTGTGTGTGTTTGTCTTGAACTCGTACCGTACATACTTTATGTCTTTTGTAGGTGGTTGATGGGTGCTCTGGTGTTATTTGCTCTTTTGATTCTCTTCAGAGTTACTTTTCTCCTAATCTGATCCTAGATAAATGTGTATCTTGCTGTGAGCTGTAATTCGGGAATGTGCCTTCAAAATTTTTTTTACTGTTGTGAAAATAAGGCTGATCAGGATTGTTTTTCTCATTTAGCTGTTAATGAGCAAAAGTTCTGAAAGCAAAATATGATGGTACCAGGCAACACTATACAATAATTCCGCTTCACATTATTAGTGACACTATCACACTATACAGACAATCTTATGAACTTGCTTATCCTGGTTCTATACATGAACTCAATGTGCACTCATTTCTTATCATTTGGATCAGTAATCTTGATAAACAGTTTAGTCCAGTGTATGTTATTTGTTTTACTCAGATTGACCGTTTTCTTTAGTAACTTGTGAAAAACGCTGTTATTACTGGCAATATAAATTTGTTGTTTGTTCTGTCTTCTGACAACAGGGAGACAACCTGCAATATGGCCAAGGATTTCAAATGCTATGTCTTTGAAAGTGAAGAAGCCTCAGAGGTAAGACTCACAGCTTTGGTTTGCTTCTTTTTGTTCAAGTTTAATGCGGTACTAGAAATAGAATGTCATGTGAATCAGTGCATTTTACTTCAAGCCTGAGACTAAGAAGGAATATATCCAGAGAAGATTTGAAAAGTTCAGACTTTGCTGAGAGTTGGTCTTCAGTTTTATCCATATTTCTAAAGCTCATACTTCTGCAGCGTAATGGTTGGACCATTGCTTACAGAAAACAGGAGGATTTTCCAAGTGAAGAAAATGTTTACCTGGTATCTCTCTCTGCCTGTCTGCTTGGATGTTGTTTCCCCTTTCTCTGGCCCTGGTAGGCAGAATCATAGCAGCCCACTTTTCAAATGGTATAAATTGCACCAGTTGGGATGTAAAACACTAGCAATATTCAAGTAAAAGAACATTCAGATATTCCAAGCCTTACCCTGATCACAAAATGCTGTTTAGTGTTCCTGACAGTGATTTATCCTTACCCTTGTGTTATGTCTAGTGCAAGTTCCTTGTCTTGAACAATATTTTGTTTGCACACTTCTCTTCAGCTAAGATTGACTTTGTCTCTCTCTGTACTTTGATTTGTTTGATTTAATTTTTGCACTAACTTTTCCTCATGCATGGCAATAGATTCTGTCAAAGCTTTTGTTAAGAGAATATAGAGAAAAGTTTGATTTTTGAATTGGAAATCATCTAATCAGTTTGTGATTTTCTTCACTGTATGATCAGGCGGTGCAAAAACAGGGTAATATAATCAGCAAATAATTTTATGACAGTATTTGTTGAATTCAGTGCTACTGAGAATTAAAAAGTAGAGGAAGAATATTGTTTCCTTTTAACGAGTCTTTCACATTTCAGTTAAAAAGAAATGAAGACAGAAACTTGTGTAAACATGCATCTGTAGGCTTTTTTCTTTTTAAACCTTATTTTTTTGCATGTTCCTATTATCACTATGTTGAAAATAACATAAAAGATTTTCAAATTCAAGTGTTCTTTGACCCTTTCATCGCAGCATCTTCATTACTTGTTTTTTTTCCTTTTCCTACAGGCTAAGATCATCCTGTGTAGTATTGGTGAGTATTGATGGGTAATGTTGTTGGCTGTAACAGAAAGAGATTTTTAGAAAGAAAAAACACATTATTTGATCCTTGTGGGGAAATGTGATTTGTAGAGGCAAGTGCAATAGGTAACATACAATAAATAGGTAGCGTAAACACTCCGCGTAAACACTCCGCGTAAACACTCCGCGTAA